AACAAGTAATCTGATGTCCTGTAATCATTATGATGCTATAATTTGAGATACAATAAATAAAATAAGTTTTTGTACAAAGTATCGGATCAGTATCGTCGATACCACCCTGAATATTACTTGGCATCGGATCGGAAAGGAAATCAGTGGTATCGCACATCACTAGTAGCTGCAGGCTGCACTGCTGTGACGTGTAGTTATATTTGCAGGGAGCAGCGTGTCAGGATACGGCGCAGATTTAACTCGCGCTTCTTTTCCCAGCAGACACGTTCAGAGTGGCTTCAGCCTGTGATCATGTGACCAGGTTTATTTTGTCCGGACGTTTGGGTTTCTTTAAAGGCTCCAAACTGGCTCGATCATTGAACACTGAGTGAGGAATCGAGTGGGCTTAAAGCTCTTTGATTGGTCGGTTGGATGAAGGAATCCTTCGTAAACGCAGCTGTGATCCTCAACGCGTTTCCGGCTCGTGCGAGGCGTTCGTTTGTTCTTCTACCGTCTCATGAAGTCACTTCCTCTCTGACCTGCAGGCGCTGCAAGCCCCCGCCTGCCACGAGAACCTGGTGAAGGTGGGCGGGTACATCCTGGGGGAGTTCGGTAACCTGATTGCTGGTGACTCGCGCTCCAGGTACAAACCACACCCACAGCTGATCGTCACAGTCCAGGGGATGTTTGTCTGGTCTCGTTGTTGTTTGAGATTTTTATTCTAAAGAATAATAAATGTTTTTGAGCTTTTCTCTCATTCTGGACGATTTTGTGACAGAATAGGAAAAATGTGGCTGCAGACAGGAAACGTGTCATTTCTCAGCTGACGCGTCGCCGCTGAAGCTGACGGCACCGCTCGCAGGTTTCACCGCCACTCTGTCTCCTCTTCCTCAGCCCTCTGGTCCAGTTCAATCTCCTCCACTCCAAGTTCCACCTGTGCTCTGTGCCGACTCGGGCGCTGCTGCTGTCGGCGTACATCAAGTTCATCAACTTGTTTCCAGAAGTGAAAGCCACCATCCAGGACGTCCTGCGCTCCGACAGCCAGCTTCGCAACGCAGACGTGGAGCTCCAGCAGAGAGCCGTCGAGTACCTGAGGCTCAGCTGCATCGCCAGCACCGACATCTTGGTGCGTTAAGACCCGCCGCCGTGGCGACATCTGCCGTGAACTAGCACTGATGCTAACTGACTTCCTGTTTCTCTGCACAGGCCACCGTCCTGGAGGAAATGCCGCCGTTCCCGGAGAGGGAGTCCTCGATTCTGGCCAAGCTGAAGAAGAAGAAAGGACCCGGAAAACTGCCAGACATGGACGACAGTCGCCGCAGCGTGAACGGCAGCACGGAGCACAGCGAGAACAGCGACACCACGAACAAGGTAACCACAGATGCAGAGCTGTGATTGGCTGCTGTGAAATCTGCCCCGACCTCGTCAGCCTGCAGCAGGTCGCTGTTCCAGTCTGCGTGCGCAGGCTGCCTTCATCTTCAAACTCTGTCCATCTTCTTCTTCACTGTTGGATGACCTTCTCCCTACTGACAGGCCCCGCCCCTCCTCCTCTGATAGGACCATGCTGTCAGCCTGACTTGGTAACCAGTAGCTGCACTGACGAGCGCGCCGCTCGATCAGCTGTGAATCGATCAGTCCTGGCAGGAGGGTGTAGTTCACACCTCCACCTGTTCTCACTTTGTTTGCTGGTATGTGTCTTCCAGAGCTCCGCCCACTCTTTTACGGATGTCCTGAATCTAAACTCCGCCCCCTCATCAGGAGCCAATCTGCTCATCGACGTGTTTTCCGAGAGCTCCGCCCCCCCTGCAGCCACAGAGGTATCGGAGGAGAACTTCCTCAGGTGAGGTTCAGCTGCAGCGACCTGCTCTCATGTTTCTGTGAGTCTCTGTGGGCCAGCGTTGGTCTCGGCGACGCTGCGGCTCGTTCAGGTTTGCAAACAGCCATGAACTTTGACCTTTCTCATGCTAACTGAGGCCTGTAGAGACTGAGCTGTTGGGTTTACCATGTGAGCTCAGAGTGATGTGTGTCGATGGAGGTGCTCACGCCGCTCTCACAGAGTCGTCCACGAGGATGCCCGTGTAACGTGACATAAGTGTCGTGTTGTGAGTGTTGTGTGAAGCAGGCAGCGTGCACGTGACCTCGGCTGTGTGTGTGTGAAGCTGCGTCACGCCTGCTGTTTGCGCACCGTGAACCAGACGGCGTGAAACTGCCGTGCACCCCGCTGCTGCAGAGAGACCTGACAGGAGGTTAGCCTCTGACATCACCGAACGCCGTGTTGACCTCTGTACGCCATCGTTCCTCGTTGTTAGTGATGCGCGTCATTCCAGCGGCCGCTCTGAGATCTGCACAAGATGAATGAACAGATCGCTAAACCTGTGGGCGTGGCCAAGCTTTACCGCCGTGCTCGGCCTCACGCAGACGTTTCTTTTGTGTAACTGTCGTCACGTTTTCCTTCTTCCAGGTTCGTTTGTAAGAACAACGGCGTGATCTACGAGAACCAGCTGTTACAGATCGGGCTGAAGTCTGAGTACCGGCAGAACCTCGGTGAGCAGCCGCTCGTTAAGTCGAGGTTTAAAAGCACGACCTCCTCCTGCCAGACTCTAAAATCTCGTTTGAGTTATTTTTGTTTGTTCTGTGAAGCTTTGTTATCATTGCTGCCTGACGTTGACGCTCCCCCTCGCAGGTCGCGTGTACGTGTTCTACGGGAACAAGACGTCCACCCAGTTCCTCAGCTTCTCCTCCTCCGTGAGCAGCAGCGACGCGCTCAAGTCTCATATCCTTTCATGACAAACCTCGTAATTCTGCGTCAGCACAGCGAACCAGAGCACGAGGAGCTCCCGCTTCAGCTCTGCACGACTCACAAAACCACTCGAGGCGGCGCTGGAGAGGGCTGGGAAACTTTAACATCATGACCCCGGTGGCGAGTTCAGCCGAGCAGAGGCGACGAGACCCTCTTTAAATATTTATATTCTGTTTTCTACAGAAATTCGATTCTTTAGCATCTCTGTGTCTGTGGGCGTGGTGTCCTGTGACGACCGCGCCCCCCTGAAACAAACGTCTGCTACCAAAGTGCAGGAAAATCCAATCAGAGCAGATTTCAAATGCTGTGACATCAGAATATCTGGGTGAAACGGACTGTGAGATACCCGCTGAACTTCCTGTTTCATCACAGTTGTGGAAGCTGATGCATGTTTGCTACCAGTCCTCTGTTTGTACTGTGTGTCTGTGCACTCACATCATCACGGCCGAGAGTAACAGGGAGCAGGTTAATAATTACACAAGCATACAGCTGACCTCTGAGTGGAGCAGACTGAAACACCAGAGCAGACGAGTTGGACGTCACACGCTCGCAAGTTAAATCTTTGGTGTCGGGGGACTGAACTGTTAACGTCCTGCGTTTAAAAAGAATAAAATCCAGCTGAAAGTTTGAGTTTGATCACAGA